TCCACATTCATGTATCTGCAGATCCAGGACTTTGTGATGTGGACTAATCTCACTGAAGTTAGATGTTATCTCAGAGTGGTGTTGATTTGCATTTCTCTGATGATGAGGGATGATAAACTTTTCTTCATGTTTGTTGGCCATTCATCTGTCATCTTCAGAGAGTTTCTGTTGAACACTCTCTCTTGCACACTTAAAAAAGGGGTTGTTTGGTATTTTTTGTTGATTAATTTAAATTCTCTGTAGATTCTAGTTAGCAGCCCTTTGTCAGATTCATGGCATCCAAATATCTTCTCCCATTATACAGGCAATCTATTTGATTTAGTTGTGGTATCCTTAGCCATACAGAAACTTTTTCTCTAGATCATTACCCACTCATTTATTTTTGGTGTCACTGCAGTTGTCAAAGGGGTCTTCTTCATAAAATCTTTTCCCAGGTCAATTTTTCAAGTTTTTCCAAACTTTCTCCTGGATTTTTTTCTTGTTTCATGTCTTAAATTTAAATCTCTTATCCAACAAGAAGAGTCAATTTTTGTTAATGGTGAGAGGTGTGGGTCCAATTTTAGTCTTCTATATGTGGCTAATCAGTTCTCTCAGAACAATTTTTTATATAGGGATTCTTTTCCTTAATGCATGCTTTTGTTTGTTTCTTGAAGATCACATAGTCATATGTGTCTGGGTTCATCTCTAGGTTCTATATTTTATTCCATAGTTCTATATCTGTGTTTTTGTGCCCATACCATGCTGTTTTGATCAGTATGGACTTGTAGTATAACCTGAAGTCTGGTAACATGTTTAGTCCAGATTCATCTTTATTTTGTAAAATTGTGTTGACTAGTTTTTTTTTTTTTTTTTTTAATGGTTCTGTATAAAACAAAGGACTATTTTTTCAAGTTCTTCAAAGTATAACCTTGGTGCTTTTCCATTTACAACTGGAACCAGTCAAGGATGTCCACTATCACCAGTATTATTCAACATACTGCTGGAAGTCCTAGCCAATGCAATCAGGGGGAAAAAAAGATCAAAGTTATTCAAATATGGACAGAGGAAATAAAACTCTCACTCTTTGCAGATGACATGAACTTATACCTGACAAACTCAGAGACTCAACTACAAAGTTCTTAGGAGTGATCAAGAAATATAGTAACATCTTAGAATACAAAATAATGTCCACAAATCAATAGCTTTCATACATGCCAATAACACTTAAGCTGAGATTCAAATCAAAGACACAGTATTTTTCACAGTAGCTGCAAAGAAAAATACCTTGAAATATATATAACAAAGGATGTGAAGGATCTCTACAAAGAGAACTATGAAACCCTGAAGAAAGAAATAACAGAAAACATTAATAAATGGAAGAATATATCATGCCCATGTCCTGGAAGCATCAAAATTGTAAAATGTCCATACTACCCAAAGCAATCTACAGTTGAATGCAATCCCCATCAAGCACCCATATCAAACTTTGAAGAATGTGTCATGAAATTTTTATTACACAACAAACCTCTGTCAACAAAACTTTTGGATTATTTTTCTATTTTTATTATCACAGTGAAAAAAAAATCTCATATTTTGTTAATTTGTACAGTCAATATTCTGGAGCATTGTAATTAATTTTTATGCAAATATATAGTGACATCTAATGAAAACTTACATTTCCATATTTAGTTTTCAAAAATCAGAAGGCACTAGTAAAAATTAAACAATACACATAACCATAAAAGAAGCACACAAATCGCTATTTTAATTAGAAGTAAAATCTATATCAGAAAATGTTGCCCACTATCTGCACTTAATTTCAAATCCCAGCCAGAGTAATCAGGAAAGAGAAGGAATCAAAAGTATCCAAATGGGTAAAAAGTACATTTCACATCTGCCTCATTTAAAACCAGACACATTTAAGAAATAATAGTATTTCTCAACATCAACAATAAGTAACTATTAAACTTACTAAAAATAAGATACCATTCACAAGAGCCTGTGGGGTAAGTTCTCAATTAATGTCAGGAAGAATTTACAATATTTTAAAGAAGAAAACTTCAAAAATGCACAATTTATACTATGTCTTCTAAAATTTTCACTTTTCACATCATCAAATTAGGAATGTCTTATGACCAAAAAGCTATGAAATATTATGTTATATGTTAATGGGAAGAATTTTCTGTTTTTAATCCTCTATAAGATAATGGTGTATCCTTTGGTTAATACCATTTTGAATTCAATGAGTCATGGTAAAGGACATAGAAGATCATCTGAATAAATACTGATACATTAATTTAACAGAATGCTAATCTGACCCTTATTAGGTTTATCCAAAAGTTGAAAAACTACATATAAAATTCAAATGGAAGAATTAAAGACTACAAAATACTAGTTACCCTTATAAAAATAAAAAAGATGAAGAACTTATCTCATCAAACATTAATATATTTAGGCAGACCTCACTACTCACAGTTTAAGACCACCACTCCCCAACACACAGAAAGATTATGCAGGCCCCAAAACAATCGAAATAATAAATAGGCAACACAACTGATATTCCAGGAACTTCAAGGTGTTTTTCTCTCAAAATATTAAAGTCTCCTAAAGTTGCTTATAAATGTATAAAGGAAAGAAAATAAATAGTACAACTGACATTCAGTACACTGTACCAAAATGCATTAGACATTGCAAATTAACATGTTTATTGACTTGTTTTTCTTCCTTATTTTTTCTGGAACAGAGTCTTACTCTGTTGTGCCAGGCTAGAGTCATAGCTCACAGCAACCTCAAGCTCCTGGACTCAAGCAGTCCTCTTACCTCAGCGTCCCAAGCAGCTGGGATTATAAGTGTGGGCTATCATGCCTGGCTAATTTTTCCCTTTTTAGTAGAGATGTGGTCTCATTCTTGTTCAGGCTGGTGTAGAACTCTTGAGCTCAAGGAATCCACCCACCTCGGCCTTCCAAAGTGTTAGGAATACAGGGATGAGCCACCATGCCAGGCCTGTTTTATTGTTTTGTAAAAGTTTCTTCCAGAGTAGTTTGAACTTTGCTTTCCTTCGTACCTTCTCCTTTGATCATATAACTTGTGATATGGATTATTTTTACTATGTTTGAAGAATCATCCTCCTGCTTTGGATGTTTGGATCAGCTTCCAATATTTTATCTATATACTTCTAATGTCTTGAAGTACCTCAGAATTATATTAATGTGAAAGTTTCAGCTGACATTACTTCCACTGGAACAAATTCATTTTATTTGTGAAACCACTTTTCTCATTAAACCAGACAAGTCTCCCTCACTAAATACGGTTGGTTGTATACCTAGAGCCTCTCCAATAGCAACAGTGTCAACATTCCCAAGGTCATCTATTTCTTCCTTATTCCATTTACATTTGATTCTCTTTCAACATTATTATTTTTCGTTCTAATTCTTGTTTTGTTTTTTGATGTACTTTCATTTTTGTGGCTTGTCTTCTCACTTGAATATTCATATTTTTAATAAGATTGTCACACAAATATATTCGTAGGACACAGTAGACACAAGCAAATACTTGGCTGTCTGTGTACAACTCAATTTAACAGAAGCACTTTCACCCTTTACCACCAGGCATATGACCGATCTCTCTACAAAAGGTGCACCTGGAATTCAGGTAGTGATTAAAGGAGTGAAGAGAGAGCAGTGAAACTTGTGCTTTGTGCAATTACTCATAGTTAATGGAAACTGGCAATAAAATTTTGATTTGTGTTGTTGGGAGACTGCTGATATTTAAATGAAGGGAGAATAGAAATCTCAGGGACAGCCTCAAGTAAAGGCAAATTAGTAGGATATGAAACATTTCTTTAGGAGATGAAATTATAAAAATATAAACCCCCTCTAGGAAGAAATATATAATAGGATATCTTCTATAATATAGACAAAGATGGAATTTTAAAAGTTTAAATTTTTAAATTTTTTTTTTTTAAGAGTGTGATGACATCATAGCTCACAGCAACCTCAAACTCCCAGGCTTGAGCAATCCTCTTGACTCAGTATCCCAAGTAGCTGGAACTATAGGTTCTTGTCACAACAAAAAGTTTACATTTTTAAATATGAAAAATAAAACTATAAAATTTGCAAAAGAAAATGTACAGACTATCTTTGTGAATGGGGGGTAAGAGAAATAATAATCATTTTTAAGCAATTCATTTTTGTTTTTATTATCACTCATTTTATTCGATTAAAAGTCTTTTAAAATTTTTTGCCAGACAAAAATCATGTATACTTGGGATATAAAATGTCATTTTTTGATTTATGTATATGTTATAAATGGGTTAACTCAAACTAATTAACATATGTATTGCCTCACATATTTATTTTTTGTCTTCTCATTAACTATACTCAGCATAATGTACAATAGGTCTCTTGAACTTGTGCCTTCTGTCAAACTGAAATATAGTTTCCTTTGACCGACATCTTCCCAATCTCCCAACATCAAGCCTCTAGTGAGAACCATTCTATCTTCTACTTTTGTGAATTTAACTCTTTTAGATTCTATGCATAAGTGAGATTTTGTTGAATTTGTCTTTCCATGCCAAATTATTTTACTTAACATAATGTCCTCCAGGTACACTGTTGTCATCAAATTTATTTGAATATCTTAAATGTCAATATTATTATAAAATATGATTTAGACAAAGTAGCATTTTCAGAGACTGTCCATCTGTGCAAACTTCATGTCCATCACTCCTGTCCTTTCCACATGGTGCTCTGTGTAAACATTGAAGGAAGTTTAAAGGGTATTGGAAACTCAGACAGAATATTTAGAACATATATGATTGAAACATTTACAGGAACTTAGAAATAAATAACAAGTCAGTAGACTAGTAGAAAAATTAGCATTTATCTGAGGAAAAAATTAAATATCCTCCTAGCAAGTAATTTGGAGATCGACATCCATAATATTTAGATAAATCACATACCATATCATCTCCATCACATTTCTTTCTCTCTTTTTTAAATCGGGAAAAAGAGATTTTTCTTTTTTCCATAATTACACAAATATAAAGCAAAACTCTAGTTGATGTGAGCGTGTTGTGCAGGTGTCAGCAGTACTGCCCTCACTACATGCTCCTTGGACAGTAGCGCAGCCTCAAGAAGAGGATGGTTATCATCACATTTTTAAAAAGAAAATTTAAATGACAACATTGATTTTTGGTGAGTGTATGGAATAATGGGAACATACATACACTGACTTTATTATGAGAATTTATGAATCACTTTGGAAACATCTTTCATCTCCCATTATCTATTAAAGATGAAAATTTGCAGACTCCATCAAACGGAAATTTTAATCTCATGAAGAATGGTAAACTCAAAATTAAGAATAATGTTTACTCCTGAAGCAAGACAAAAAGACTATATAATTAGTGATCGTTTCGTTTAAAGTTAAGATAAATGACTTTTTCATAAACTAGTAGCTACACTGGTGTTTATCATATCACATATTTTGAAGAAGTCAGGATTATTCCCCATAATCCCTGAAATTTGTGAATATGTTACAGTATATGATTTAAAAGAGCTCTGAAAAGTCTTCAAGGTTAAGGACTCAAAATAGGAAGTTCATCCTGGATTATCTGGGTGAACCAAATCAAATCCCATTATCCCTTCAGAAAAGATAATTTTTTTTTCCTCAGCTGAAGTCAAACGGATATGGCAAGAAGAGAAGTTGAAGAGATTCAAAGCATGGATGGACTCCATCTACCATTGCTGGAGGGGGTAGGGGCACAGAGGCCACATGAGGAGGGATGGAGGCAACCCTTGGGAGCAAAGCTCTAGGTCCGTGGCTGACGGCCAGCAAGGAAATGGAGACATCAGTCCTACTACTGCAAAGAACCACATTTGGCAAGGAACCTGAATGAATTTGACCACAGATTTATTCTCAGAGGCTCCAGAAAGGAGTGCAATTCTGCTTATACCAGCATTTTGACCTTGTGAAACTTTAAGCAGAAGACTCAGTTGACCTGATGTTACACTTGGACTTCTGACCTATAAAACTATGAGGGAGTAAAAGGATGTTGGCAGCAATAAAAAGTCATACACTAGTATGTGTAGCTTACACATACATTTAAATAACCATCATAACTAATTCACTATTTTGAACAAAACAAATTTCCAAAATTAGTAAAACCTAAGTATGTATAACCTTAAATTTTTAAAATATTTTTTATGTCAGTTCAATCCCAGAATTTCAATTTTATATTACTTAGTGGCTTTAAAATTAAAACACAAAATATTTAGGGATAAGTCAAACTCATTAAAAATTCACAGCCTTGCCACTTCCAAAATGAAAGATGTTTTTTCTGGGCTATAGTTAATTGAAGAAGATTTTGAATGTACAAAGTTGATTAACTGATTTCACATTCTTGTCCACTCTGTACTACTTTGTGTTATCTGTGGTTTTCTGTTACAAAGAACCAAGTAGTAGATCTGAAAATCACTGGTTTTATTTCTCAGTTAATTCAGATTTATTTGACTCAAGCAAATAATAGTTATCTTGCTCTCCTAATTTGCTAGAAATATTTCTTTTCTGTTTTGTACATTTTCAGTGAATATATTACAAAGCAGTTTAAGGGAAAGGTTGGCTAACTATGACCAGAGTCAAATCTGGGCAGTCACCTGTTTTTGTAAATAAAATTATATTGAAAGATAGTATCTATTTGTTTACTTGCCCATGTCCGCTTTTTTTATGCTACAATGACAATTGAGCATTGGAGTCACTACTCACCATATGGTCCACAAATCTTAAATGATTTATTATTTGTCTCTTTAAACTAAAATTTTCCAAACCTTGATTTAAGAACACATATAAAGGGAATTTTCATGATATCTTTATGGTGTGAAAATCTATCAAAAGACAAATTAATATCAATTGATTATTTTAAGAAATATAATCTATTACCTGTCAGTAATTGTTAATGCATAATTTAAATCTGTTTAGAGATTTAAAAATTAAGCTCTTTTAAATTGAGATCATCTGTCAAATAAAGTTCCTGAAATAACACAATGCGACAATTTGTATTTGAAGGTATATAAGTAGCTAAAAACTATTGTATTCAATAAAGGTCAACATGTCCTGTAATTTCCTGTCTCTTTTTATATTCCCTTTATAACCCACTCTTGAAAAAAAAAAAAAAAAGAAGAAAGAATGAAGGAAAGAAAAACTACTGGTCTGTGATTGATTTCATTATTAGCTATTTCAATTATATGCAAGGATCAATAGTTCTCTTCTACAAAATAAATTCAAGAGGTGAAATAATTAAAATTTAACAAATACATATCTTTTTTCTTTGAGATACAAACAGAAAAATAATTTTATAGCTCACCCTTTTGTTCATAGAATTGCGAGAATAAGGAATAATGAATTGTCTTCTCTGCAGTTGAAGAAAGTGAAGGTTGAAATTGGACTATATACTAAGAGAAGTATAATTAGATAAAGTTAATGTTCCAAGCAGGATCTATATGTTCTGTTTCTAATTTCCAATCTTCACAGAGCTTCTAAATCTTTTCTGACTCTTGGCATAGATTTGATTATCACTCTCGCTGAAAGTGATTTAAATTGAATTCATTATGTGACTTATTTATATAATAGTTGAAGAAGGAAAGACTCCAAGACTATTCATAGCCTAAAACAAATAGATCATTAAACATAAATAACCAACATCCACAATATAGTATGTATAATTAAAATGTTATTTATGCATTTTTCATAGATCAGCAGCATTTATAGAAATGTATTTAAATAAAGTAGTAAAATCTTATCCTGAGATTTTATGTGTTCTCTTTGCTAAAAATGAATGTGTATATAGAATGATTGATTTTTTTTTCTTTCCTAAAAAGGAAGACTATGGTCTTCCAACATTTGCCTTTGAAATACATCCTAAATTGTCGATTGGATAATCATATGAGGAGGACATGGGAATACAGAACCAGGGATCTTGGGACTGGTGTAATCAAAATAGTGGTTTGAAGAGTTTTTGGGAAAAAATAGTAGTTGGTAGGAAAAGAGGCAGATTTTAGAATCTTTTACTCTAGAAAGCTTGAGTGTTAAATGAATCACTTCTTTTGTTCCTTAAATTCTGATTTAATGTTCTGTTCTTATATGAACTGCAGATAAGAAAAGTTCCATATGTAGGAACAAAGTGTCCTTGCAAAAGCTTATTTTAAAGGGAGTAAAGTAAGAAAATGGACCTTTAAGCATTCTGTTATTTATCCAACATATTATAGACTCCTATTAAGACACAGAGTGTTGCCCATTAGTTGATAACCCATTTCTTAGAATGGTTTATCATTGAGAATGGGTTATCTCAAAAAGTTTGTAGTGCACAATTTGTAACTTTTAATTTAAATTACCTAAGGCACATATAACTGCATGTAATTATAGCAGTTTAGCAATTCTAGAGCTATAGAAAGTTAGCATCTGCCCTGGTAGAAAATGTGGAATGAGATTTGGTTGGGAATTTGTATTCATTGTTGGAGAATTGTCATAATAACTTCCTGGAAAAGCTAGCTAAATTGACAATTATGCACATATATCTAGGAGAACTGACTCCAATAAAGCAGCGCAAACTCTCTGAATATAAATGTCTTAATCTGTAAAATGTGGGAAACATTTTGTATTTCAAGAGGTTATTCTGAGGATTTAATGGGAATGTTTAAATTGCTAACCTCTTGAATTCTCCCGAACCCTTAACCTTCCTAACTAGTCCTCTTCTCAGAGATTCATGCACTGTGCATCTTTCTTAAAGCTACTGGAACAGTCTGTCCAAATGTAAATGTGAATAAACCACAATCCATCTTAATACTGAGCATGACTAACTCCTCATGGCCCTAATTCAATTTTTATGACATGAAATATTAAAACATTAATGATCTGGGTCCTGTTATTCCTTAACTTTTATTTTATTCTTATAAAATTCCAAACTTCTTCCTTTTCTAAGCATATGTGAAATGGTGGGGTGAGGGTGAGAATTTCAATCTCCAGTTACCAGTGATCTAATTACTTTAATCCTCTAAGACATCTCTGATTTCATGTTTTTAGTAAATTCCCCTTTATAAAACCAAGCAACTCCAATTCCCTTCTACCCAAGATGTAAATGGCTAAGTTATAAGATATTCTTCTGGAGTGCTAATCCAAGCTTTAGTAGCCCTGATTATAATTAAATTCTAATTTGATAACTCTTAGTTTTTTATGGTCACTGTAAGATATTTGAAGGCAAGAAGAACAATTCATCCATATTGATAAACTTAAATTATAAAGACTAGCCTAACAAGTCTATGCTAAACAGAAAGCATTTTGTATTTTGAGGAGCCAAAAGCAGTAGTCAATACGTGTAAGTTAAATATCAGTATCTCAAAGGCAAGAACAAAGTGGTTCAAAATAAGATAAATTTAAGAATGACCTATAAATGCTCCAGTACATATACTTTATATACTTTTTCACTTCTAAGAAAAATAACTAAGGGGCAGCTTAAATAACACCTCTGTATAGAATATACTGTAATTATCATTCTTTGATAAGGTCTAATATCTTCTTTTTTGCTGCCTTAGTCTTTGATTTTTCACATCCCAATTTACCTCAATGTCAATTTTGAGAAAAACACACAAGTTGCATTTAGGCATCATCTACTTATGAAAAATGTTCAGGAGAAATTTGTCCTTAATGTTTTGTGAATGTTGTCAGTTATAAAATAATCTATGACCCTTGAAAAATATGTTCTCATTAAAAATTGACTTTAACAGTGGCACAAATCTGTGATTCAACTTAATTTTTGATGAAGTATGTTTGTAAGGAACAAAAATAAATTCAGCCTATGTTTTTATTATATGCATGCATCTAATAGTTTTAAATTATTTGGTTATGAGTCTGAGGCTAATTACTTTTCTTTGGTATTTGCAAATAATTTTTAATTTGGTATTATTATGAAAGTGTACATACAAGAAATTTTTTTTATTTTTATAAGTATATGCTAAAGTATTTAGTACGAATTTTAATAGAAAGTTATAAAGAATAGCATTGGCAGGCTAAAACTAAGAGCAATGAGAGTTGGCTTTCTCAGACATTAACCCATACTATTAGCCCTCACTAAAAGAAACAATGTCATATTTC